CCACCTGTCCCACTCTCTGGCCTCAGACTCTCCCCAATAGGAAGGACATTGCAGTTGACCCCTTCTTCTCTGGTAATCGGCTTCTTCTCAGGGAACCCACACCTTTTGCCATTTACTGGTCCATGGGTCCTCTACCCATATCATCTCCCAACCCCCTGGTATCAATTCAACCTGCCCTTTTATATCTCCCATTCCCGCCTCTATGGCAGACCTCCCCCTTTCCTCTCTTCCCGCCAATTCACCACCCGTCTGTGTGGCCACTGTCATTTTCAAAAGTTCCCGCTCCAGCTCCCGGGTGTCAACTCCCCACTGTTTAGTCTCGATGGGCTGTGTAGGCGGGTTTGTCTGCGCCTCTTGCTCTCTTTTCAGGGAGGACGACACTCCGGTGAGAGCCTTTACACTCTCGCCTCGCGTCTCACATGTCTCTCAAAGAATCTCTTTCATAATGACCTAATACTTGAGTGTGGATGTAAATAAATGATAAGAAATACACAAGGAGAAAGAAAAACATAACACTGAGGAAAAAAGACCTCCTAGAGTCCTAAAAGGTGGATAGAGGAAATTGGTGCTTTACAAACTTAGTTTACCAGCACTTTATGCTAATGGCATTTTGCCTACCCAGTAAAATGGTACCCAAGTAACTTACTATTCCTTCAGGTGCAGGGACCCAGTTAGTCAAAATAAAGGTTATCTGCCATAACAGCAGCTTGCTAGTCTTGTAGTTTGCAAGAGCCACCCTGATAAAACAATAAAGATTTTTATTAAAAATAGCCTAATTTACAGAGACTGAAAACTTACTGTACCAGCAAAATTTAGTTGTTTACGAGTGGAAGGGAAAAGTAAACAACTGAGAAAAATATAAATATAAGGAGGCAAGAGTAACCTATGTAATACAACATGTCACACACTGAATATCAACAACACAGATACTAAGGAGTGTCAGGCATCATGTAGCAGCAGCAGGAACATATTTAAATAAATAAGTAAGTAAGTAAGTAAGTAAGTAAGTAAGTAAGTAAGTAAGTAAGTAAGTAAGTAAGTAAGTAAGAAGTATAAATAAATAAATAAATAAATAAATAATGGACTTCACTCCACAGATTCAAACTGGCTTGGATGGATGAGCACTTAAAATATTTTGCATGTAGGTCCACTAAAATGCTTAAAGGTTAAATACTGTTCATAGCTACAATGTTTTATTACTTTTTAAAGCCTCTCCTGTACTTGATTATCTACTTCAATATTGTTTACATGCACAATATCTAAGTATTTCATTAGAGACATACTAGCATGTGCTATGAAAAACTCAGGGTGTCATTCCTCTTGACCATAGTGTTGCTTGTCCTATTTCAGTACATCACCCTTTCTTTAAAAGAAAAAACACATTAAGCCAATTTTGCACACATCACAGTTAAAGAACATGGGCAGTCAATGTGGCTGAGAATGATGTTTCCCTCAAATGTAACTTTTCCAGCTCTGCTTAGTATTAGTTTTGGGCACAATTACTACATGAGAATTTCCCCAGGGCATAAAGCTATTAAGCCAGTTCAGTTCTCTGATGAATAATTAAGAAGCCAAAGCATTATCTTGGAAAAGGCCATGCACAGAGACCATGCATATACTGATAAGATCTTGCTAAGCAAGTGACAAAAGTGAAAACAACAACAACCCAAGATTGCTCTATGATGAAATAAAACAGAAGAGAGACATACAACACTGGTCAGATTACATTTTCAGGAGTTATTAAAGAATAGATGCAAAGCAATTTAGATTTCCTTCAAAAATTATTTGCAAAAATTAATGACTCTAGAAAAATTATACAAAAATTCCACCAGTAGATTAAATCTCTGAACTTAATATTTTAAAGTATTTTTCCTCTCATGGAAAAACTGAAAACATCTGTTAGCTTTAAGTGACATATTTAACCAGTATGTTTTGTTGAAAAGGTTTGCTTATATTACACAACAGTTTCAAGACACCACCCTTACGCAGCGCTCCTCTACAACCAAGGATGCTACCTATGGGAATACTTAATAATTAAAATAGTAATAATGGAAGCTACTATAAGTGACTTTAAATGTTGTTATAATGTGACATATATCTTAAGAAGAATATAGGTTAGTTCGGTCTGATTTTCCATTTCACGGCCTATTTTCCAAATAAGGTTTTTTTTTTTAAAAAAAAGGAAAAGCAAATACTGCATTTAATGTTCATTAATTAGAGGAATCAAACTAATATTCTTCATAAATAAGAAATTGTTGTATTTGACAGTAAAAATGCGTACATATGTTCCCTATTTAAGCCTTACACAAGAATTTTGGGAAACATCAAAGCCATTTGAAAACAGCTGCCACAACAAATTATACTAACTGATTCATTAAGCAATTACATCCAAGAAACATCAGAGGGGAGCAAAAGGTAAAGTTCATCCGATATCTCCAATACATTTAGAATGAATTGGACATAGACTGCACTTGCCTCACAGAGGTCACTTCAAACAACTTTTAGTTATTTAATAATGTTTAGGAATTGTCTTTCCACTTGAAAGAATATCCAGGGTACACAGAACTTTAAAAATAATCAAGTAACAATATAAAATTATGAACACATCAATCATAATTAAAACAAAATGAAATAAAACTCTTTCAATAAAAATTTTAAATGTATTTATTGCCTATCAAAAGCTATTCAAATATGGATCTATTCGGATCTCCTTTGGGAGGATGCTATTGCAAAAGAGGCCCTATAGAATATCTGCATCTACTATATTAGTGTCTTCTTTGCCCACCCTATCCTGGAATAAAGAAGTAAAATATAGAGAATGGGTTTAACTAAGACCACAACTTGACTAAACAATTAAACTCAAAGTTCTAACCTCTTGCAGGAGGTCCTGCTGTAGTGCGGAGGAACATGAATCAGGAGCCGAGTGTCCACCTGACCTCCTCTCCTGAAACACAAGGTGAGCTCCATGCCCCAGGAACCCTGCTATCCCTAAGGGGTGAGAGAGGGGCAGGGAAGCTTTATAAGGCACCCAAGTCCCCACTGTGAGCTCATGGGGACATAAGCAGTGTTCCACAATCCTTTCACCTCCTCCAAGACAGGAGGCAAAGAGACCCCATCCCCACAGCTTGGTGAGCCTTGGGTGCTGGTGGAAGCCAACCTTGGCAGTGAGGTCTATATTAGTGGCTTAGAAGAAAGAAGGCAGATTCTTTGCCATGCAATCCGTTTAATAGGGGAGGAGGCTGTCCTACAGCTGCTCTGGCACCAAACCGTGTGCTGAGAAATTCTAAGAAGGTATCAAGACACAGAACGCTGTGCCCAAATCCACCTTCTCAAGAAAATATGTGCCGCTGATGCACCAGTCAAATGTAGGCAAAAGCACTCTGGGCCACAACAGCCAGCCACCTGACCCCCCAGCAATATCTGCTCCAGAAGTACAGTACCTCCCAAATTATCAATATGACCTATTAATGGAAACGCAATCCCATTTGGAACTGGTGGCCTGTCTTTTCTGGTTGGTCCCACAATGCCCATGCTTTGCCAGCAAAGAGACATCAAATCATCCATAGCATAACAGATGAAACCATTAAGTGCAGAAAAATCTCTCCTGGTGGCTCATGGTAACAGTGCTGAAAACTCTACTTCTTTCCAGGGCAGCAGCTAATGCAGAGCAGCGAGGTCAGTGTAAATCCCCTTCATCTCCTCTGTTGTTGTACTCAGTTACCTTTCTAGACTGTTAAGTTATACAATCAAACCACAGGATTTTGTTTCTAAACTCTGGTTCTAACTCTAAATGGCAAGTCTATCATCCTGTACCTGCAGTCCAGAACCTCTAATGCCTAAACTGGGTGATGTTGTGATTTGCTGTCACTGCGTGCAGACTTAATCACTGTAGCCCTTTATGGCTGGTGTACGGGATGATGAACCACATAAAGTCACTCTAGATGTGATTGGGATAAAATTGTTAGACCACCTCTTAGAAACAGTGTTACGTCATCCTGTCCAAAGCGGAGATTTTGATGTTGCAGATTAAAAAAGAGGGTCAGTAAGAGTTCACAACTCATTGTTCTGCTTTTTATCTCGGAATACTTAAAAGCCTTCGTCGTAGTTTAGTCATTCAGTCATGTCTGACTCTTCGTGACCCCATGGACCAGAGCACGCTAGGCCCCCGGAGCTGGGTCAAATTCATGTTGGTTGCTTCGATGACACTGTCCAACCACCTCATCCTCTGTCGTCCCCTTCTCCTCCTGTCTTCACACTTTCCTAACATCAAGGTCTTTTCCAAGGATTCTTCTCTTCTCTTGAGATGGCCAAAGTATTGGAGCCTCAGCTTCAGGATCTTAAAAGCCTTACTATGGTTCTAAAGCTAAAACTAGACAATACAGTGAGCACATCGTGAGAAATGGAGCTCCCTTATGTGATCTAAAGCATCTATTTATTCTAGAATGAATTTTTCATATCATTCTGTGTTACAAATTAGCATAGTTTTATTTTGTAAGTGGTCACCAGGAGGAAAACATCGATTTCATTTACAAATCTGATTATTCCGACATGTTCTTTTGAAGTGACTGTGTGCCTACCACTGAAATACTATAATAATGGGAAACATGCATTTCCTTCAGCGTGTCGTTTAACCCTAATCAAGATCAATGGTATGAAGATTTTAGCAGATGAAAGGGGGAATACAACAGATACAGAGGTGGTTTAGACAGAATTGGATCAGAGCTCAAATTTTCATTTTGCTATGAAACTCTCTAGATTACCGTGGACTAATAACACAGGCTCTTTAGGTTTCGCCTACCTTACAATGCTGTAGTAAATGTAAATGGCATACATAGAAAAACTGTATGGGTTTAGTAAAGCTAATTCTTTTTTCAATTTTTATAACCATGCATCCTATAACTATTATTCAGGGAATTGACATTTTCTGTTGTGCAAGGAGATAACATTCCTTTTTATATTGTAAAACAGTAAAAACTGTTAAAAGCAGGAGTGCCACATACCTGTGGTTCTGGTTCTACATTGACTCGGTAAGCTTGTGCCTTTCCATCTTCTAAAATATTAGGGGACCACGCCTTGCTTTCAGCCCTGAAAAGATAAATCCAAAGTAGCATGTTTGTTATACAACAATGTAGCATGTCATGTATTCTCAAGGAATTTGAACGTGAATTCAGGATTCTCTCTCTCTCTTTCTTTCTCCTTCTGTCACACCTACACATACACCCCACACCAAATCAAAAGTCTGAAAAAATAATAATAAAACTTAAATGCTATTTATTATGCACTATGTTCACGCCATATTGAAATGTAACTATACACACATATCCTGATGCACAGCCCACTTCATTCACTGAAAATTTCTTTCTGAAACAAACATGAAGGCAGCAAGGTAGGAACTAGCAAACTGTAGAACTGTATCTTACAATGACCCAAGCATGTCACCTTTTATTTTCCAAATTATGCCAGGTTATTCCTTCTCTTGGAAGCCTATTAAAGGGACCAAAGGAACTTCACTAAAGGCTCAAATTGCATGTGCTTGGTTTATAGGTACATAACTGAATTCCATCTATTTTTCCTCACCAGGTAAACTCTGGTGGCATTTAAAAAAGGAAATGGTACAATTTATTTACAGAGCAGGAACATAATGGCCAAAATCCTATTGCTTGATGTAGTAAATCACACTAGAGCAGGCCCACTGAATCAATGGAAAGTCAACTTAGTGAGTCAACTCTTCTATAAATATCATTGGTTCAACAGATTTACTCTAGTGCTATTTACTACTCTAGTTTGATTTTCTAATCAACAGGATTTTGGCCATTAGGAAAACATACTAGCTAGTTAACTAATAGCATTAATTTCTTTTGTTATTCCTGTATTTTTTTTTTAAAAAAAACCCTTTTCCTAAACTAGGCCAAAGAATGGGAGTGTGTCTCTCATATATCATCAACCTTTCCTTAACAGAAAATGGAATCTGTTTCATTCTGGTTTACAAAGAGGCTTTTGTATCTAGCTGCATCTCCTTCACCACTATCACAAGTCTACAATGGTTTACCGCAAATGTATTACAGTGCTCTAATATAGGTATGCACAGTTTTGCACAATATAGACAAATCAGTATTAATCTTTTAATCATAGTTAAGACACTGTCTCCACTCTTGGACACAAGTTGCAACTAGTACTCACTTTTGTGCCACTATGAAGTCACCGTAGATGAAGCCTATGAAGCCGAGTTTCCTGACTAACCTCATTTGCAAAGACCCTGACGTGGCTATGTAAAAAAGCACTTTTTGAGAACAGTAGCTCATTGTAAACTGAGGAAATTTAATTTTAAGATAACATCTATAAAAGAGGTTTTGCGTGAATTGGCAAAACACTCCTTTTGAAAGACATTTTTCCGGTCCAGGAACAATCTATACTGCACAGAAAAGGGAAACCTGTCTTCTGTTCTGTCTATAATCCATATTACAGAGAAGGACAACAGGTGAGTTTAAAATTATGATAGCAAAACAACTACGGAAACCAATAGTGCTGCAGGAATAATTTAAATGTTTGATTTCTGTTCCAGGAATCACTTATACTGTACAGCAAAAGTTGGACAATGGCAGTGAGTGGGATAAAAAAATCTGTCTCTGTTACATAGGTATCAGAGACTCACATGGCCATGGCTAAAAACAATTAGTAATTATATCTGCACCAAACTCCAGATTTTCAGTATATTGCTGCAGCTGATTAATATGTTCATTAAAGCAGTCCATGGTACTTCAGATGCTCATTAGAGGACTCTGAGGATAGAGGAGCACTTGTAGCCCTAAAATACTATTGATACTATTTGGCTCCTTCTGAAATTTTTGTTGCATTTTGTGAAATGTGCAGTTGTGAAATGTATGGTTTTTGGTACGAGTCACCATTCATTGCCACAAAAAACATGGGCATACACATGTAACAGCAAATCAATTAACAAAATACTATTTTTCAATAAATAAATATATAGTCTTCACATGGTTCCAGTTATCTTGAAGTAACTTATTTTGAATGCAGCAGTATACTTTCTCTAAAGTTGATCGCTCGACTTATTTTATCTTCAAGATCTCTTGTGTTTTCACCAGGCAGAGTGCGAGTGGTGGAGCCCAACGAAAGCACTGCCTGAACAGAGCACAGAAACACTTTCATAAGAAGTATTCACACTCAAGACATTTATTTACTTCACTTTTTATTGTACTAACAAAGAACACTTCTTGGGGGGTGTGTTTATAGTTTTACTTTTTATTTTACTATTTAAGTTTGCCTGACACTATTTTCAGGATAGTATGTTCTTAAAATATTACACAGATTGTCTCATTGGTTGTGCTAAAAGATTTTGCACTTGATAGTAATCTTGACATCTACTTCACAATTTTCCACCCATGCATAATTCCTTATCATTCTTGTTTAATTGCCACAGACAACCACGGTACCAGTCTAATTTAATCTTTGTTTAGTGAAACAAACAGGGGCCATGTGGAATCGTGACAAACACAAATAAATAAACAGCAAGATAGGTGGCAAAAACCATTTTTAATCCTACACTAAGATGTTCCTCTTCCATTTCATCCGCTGTCCCAGTTACATGGGGAGCTTCTCTGAACAGCTCGGTTTTAAAGAGTGTTTTGAATGCATGAAGGGAGGGAGCCTGCTGTAATCTCCTGAGGGAGAGCATTCCATGAGGAAGGTGCCACTGCTGAGAAAGCCCAGTTTCTAGTTGCTGTTTTCTGAGCTTCCTGAGGTGTCAGCACCTGCAGGCATGAGGTTCTGTGAGGACTGAAGCAGATGGGCAGCAGAACTTGGTAAAACACATTCAGACAAATAATGAGGCCCCACAATGTTTAGGGCTTTGTGTGTTAGAACCAAAGCTTTAAACCTGGCATGGAAGCACAGCGGTAACCAGTGCAGGCAGAGCAGAATTGGGGTGATACAGTATGGCCAAGCTTCCTTAACCCAGTGATCAACCTGGCTGATGCAATCTAGACCTCCTGAAGTTTCCATCCTAGATTCAAAGGAATCTCCGCCTAGAGCGCATTACAGTAGTCATTTTTCAAGACTATCAATGTGTACACCAATGTTGCTAGCGACCTGTTATCTAGGTAGGGACACAGATGGGTGATTCGCCAAAGCTGGCAAAAGAGAGAGTGGACCACAGCGAAGACCTGTCTTTCCACGGTCAATGCTGGGTCTCAGATCATGCCCAGACTGCACACCTGATGTTTAACAGGCAGGATAAATCCCCCATGTTTAGGGGAAATATTCCCCCCCAGAGGTAGGTGGCCCCCCTGGCAACATGATCTCCATCTAATTTGGATTCAGCTTCAGCATATTCTTCCTTGTCGAATTCAGAACTGCAGTCAGGCAGCTCTCTAGGCATCTGATGGCATCCACTGTAGATGAATTAAAGGAGAGATACAACTGTGTATCATCTGCATACTGATGGCATAAAGCTCCAAATCTCCTAATGACCTCTCCTAGCAGCCTTATGTAGATGTTAAACAACATTGGGAAGATGATCATGACCTCTCCTAGCAGCCTTATGTACGTAGATGTTAAACAACATTGGGAAGATGATTGATCCCTATGGGATCCCCACAATTGAGAAACCATGGAGTTGAAACAGCTTCCCCAAGCTGCACACTCTGGAGTGGATCCTCAAGGAAAGATTGGAGCCAGCTTAATGAAAGGCCACTGATTCTCCCAACCCTAATAGTCTATCCAGGAGGCTACTGTGGTCAATGGTATCAGAGGCAGCTGAGAAATCAAAGAGAATCAACAGGGGCATATTACTTGGTTTAGGCTCTCTTAAAAGACATCATGCAGCACGTCCAGAACCATTTTGCAGGCTGGAATGGGTCTAATGAGTTGGCTTCTTCAAGGAATGCTTGCAATTAGTCTGCCACCACCCTCTTGATCAACATGCCAGTAAACTGAACCAACAGGGGCATAATTACTTGGTTTAGGCTCTCTTAACAGGTCATCATGCAGCACGTTCAGAATCATCTTGCAGGCTGAACCCAGCCTGGAATGGGTCTAATGAGTTGGCTTCTTCAAGGAATGCTTGCAATTAGTCTGCCACCACCCTCTTGATCAACTTGCCAGTAAACTGAATATTTGTGACAGTCTAAAGATGTTTAGATTGCCTGGTACTAAATCTGACTTTTTAAAGAATTGGCCTCAGCCGAGTTCTTTACTTGTGGATTTGCTAGAGGTGACATGTATAATTTATATTTTCAGTGACATGCTCTCTGAAAACAACTCAGAACTGGGACCCAAAGCGGTGTACAATATAGTTTCTTTTTTTAAAAAAGTTAAAATGCAATATATTACAAATATTAAAATAGCATTAAATTCATATTATTAAAATACAACTAAAATTTTAAAAAAACCTAAAAACTCACAACAAAATACTGATAATAGTTTGCCTTAAAAATAGGGAGGGAAAATTAAAGCAGCACAGCAGCTAAAACACAGTACTGTACCAAAGGCCTATCTAAATAAAATAAAACATGTTTTGTTTTCTGAATAATCATTCTTAAATAAAATTGCTGATGAGCATTTGTGTCTTCCCAGGACCATAAGCTGCATAATTAAAAGCAAATCAAAACAAGCAAGCTGAGGCGACATGTGTAATTCATATTTTCAGTGACATGCTCTCTGAAAACATGATGTTTTCATATATAGTAATACCTTGCATATTCATCAATATCTTTCAGTTATACTAAGAAAAAATATACAGGATGTCAGCGGCAAATGACCCCACCCTGTACTCCTTTTGTGTGGAAATGAGTTGGCAAGAACAGACCAACATAACATGCGTGCTAGCCATGCCAATGATAAATCATAAACCACCCAAACTACTCCTTCTAGGCACTCTGCATATTGTTATTCAGCAATCCAGCTTTCTATAACCCCATGACCTCCAGATGGGATAGGCTACAAGTCATCCCCCAGACTGGCATAAAAAGAACATTAGGTCTGGGAGGGCTGATAAGACTGATACACTCTTTTGGAAAGCCTCGGCATATGGAAAGCCAGAGGCCCATGTTTTTCTATTCTGTATATTA